CCTGAGCTAATGGGAGTTCACAAACTCCTACTGGACTGGGAGTGAATGAGCATGGGATCAAACTAGTCCCTCTGAATGTGGTTGTGTGTTTGTGCAGACTGAGGGGCTACTGACAGTGGCACTGGGATTTGTCTCTTTTGCATGTACTGGCTTTTTTGGGATCCTAAACACTTTGGGTGTATACCTTGCTCAACCTAGATGTAGTAGGGAGGGCCTTTGACTTGTCACAGAGCAGGGTGCCTTGTTCTCGTTTAGGACTGGAAAAAGAGGGGGGAATGGTGTGGGGAGGGAGTGGGAATTTGGATTGGTATTTTTTAAAAAGTAATAAAATAAATAAAAAAGCTGAAAAAATAACAAAAATTAAAATGCACCAAAGATTAAAAAAAAATAGTGCAGGAAGTATATAGAGGAACTGTTGCTTAGCCCTGAGCTTTGGTGTCGAATTGAGTCAGGGTCAAGTCTTAGGAAAGAGCATATCCACTTTCTGTTTTGTACTGGGTGTCCTCATCCTGACAGCATTCCGCGCTACAGTTTGTTCTATCCCGTAGCTGTGTCCCACTGTGCAGACTGTATCACCAGTTCTGTGTTCTGTTTCTGTGGAGATCGGGCATGAGACACTGCCATGTTCCTTGGAGCTGCTCTTCCTGGACTTGGTAAATGTGACAGGGTTCATCATTTTTAGCTATTGTGGTAGTGAATACAGAGTCCCAGTTTTATAACCTGGGCTCCTCTCATAGAACTCTTCCTCTATGAAGACCTGGTCTGGTGGCTGCAGAGGAGTCTTCCTTGACTTTAGTCTGCCCATTGGGACCTGGTCTTTTGATCTGAGCTCTGGGATCTGGGTCAGTTTATAACAGGACAGATTTCCCTCATCAGTCTTTTGCTCTATTTTCAGTGTTTTTAATGGTGCAGAGGACCTGGGCACAGTATGGTGAGTCTGTTCTCTGTGTTTGTTCCAGGGAACTAAGTTGGCTGGGAGTAGCATGGGAGGAGCTTGAAGCATTTTGTGCAGATCCTGAGACGGGATTTTTCACTGGCAGCCACTGGCACACTTACTTAATGATCAGAATTTACTACTGTAGCCATCTCTGGGGGTGATGTGCTCCAGTAAAGCCTGCATGCTATGTGTTTCAGAAGGATATTGAATAAATGGCACAGAGGAGGGGGCACCTGCACACATGTGTCCTCTGAGGATACACATATTTGATTTTGAATTTGTTTTCCATTTTCTCCTGTCTCTTCTCACTTGGGCTTTGCCTTGCTCTCTTACTGATTCTGCCATTACTAAGGCTTGTCATCCATGAGACAGAGTTGAATAAAATACTGTCTAGTGTGTGTGTTGCATAGATGGGATTCATTTATTTTCAGAGGCTCCCAGGCTTTGTGTGACTTTGGAGGTGGGAATAATGTTTGGGTTTTTCATGGACACAAGAGACAAAGTCAGCCATAGGTCATTGATTTGAATGGATTTCCCGTTGAATATCCCAGAGAAATGGGACAATTTGGTGATAAGAATAGCAGCCTATAGGGTTCATTCCTGGGCTGATAGGACACAAGTAGAGAAGCCACTGATAGTGTTAAGGTTTGAGGGTTATTCTGGCATTGTTTGGGAACAGTAAAAATGATTAGTCCTTTGGAACTAGGCCAGGGCACAATTCTGAAAATGATGACACTTCACTCTCATTAGCTTTCTTTCTACAGGACACAAGCTAGAGTCCTCTGGCAAGAAGGGACATCAACTGAGGAACTGTCCCCACCAATGCCTGTGGGCTTGTCTGTGGGGCAGTTTGTTGATTACAATTGCTGTGGGAGCTATTCTGGAGTCTTTGGGAATGTGGCTGTCCTGGTATCGGTTTATTAGCACTTTTTCCTGTGTCTCTCCAGGACCACCACCCCAGCCTTCCATCTGGGCAGTTCCAGGAGCTGTGGTTCCCACAGGCAGTGATGTGACTGTCTTCTGCAGGATTCCTTCAGGAGTGACCATTGTGCGTCTAGCCCATCTTGTACCCAATATTGTGTGGTACGATGGTACCCCACAGGGAGCCCAGGAGGTGCTTGAGTTCAGTCTGAAGAATATAACACAGAGTAATGCTGGGGTTTACTACTGTGACTATTTTAGGGAAGGTGAATGGTCATGAAGTAGTGACATTTTGGAGCTGGTGGTGACAGGTGAGTAACTGCCTAAGAACACTGTCCTTCAGGCTCAGTCTCTGATCCAACCTAACTAACCACATATGCCCCATTCCAGGCTCATTCTACATCTCTGCTCCAATATAGTGATCTCTTCCCTCTACTCTTCTCTTCTCTCCTCATTTCCTTTTCAACTTTCATTTTTCTTGACAACTTGATTTTCTTGAAAACTTGATTTTTCATTTTCTTGTGACAAGTTCTCACATATTTCAGATTGTCCTAGAACTTACTGTGTAACCAAGCATAATCTTGAATTTATGATCTCTCTTCTATTCTTCTACTCATAGTGCTGTTGACCTTTAGAATGACACCATAAATATGCTGACAGATATAGAACACAGGGCACTGTGTATATTAGGCATATTAGGCAAGAACTTGACCGACTAAGATTCAACTGACCTTCTGCTTTGGTGTGTGACCCTCGGTCTCTCCTGACCATATTGCAGCCTCCCTTCCGAGTGGTGATTATATTGCCTAAGGGATGGAGTTAACAGGAACTGACAGGGGATTTCTGTCTACATAGTGCCTTTCTGTGTCCTGGTTCATGAAAAATAATACAAACATAATTATAATAAAAACAGAAATAATACATGTTCTGTGGTTCCTGTACATAAGCAATAGATGAGTTTCCTCTTCATCTTTCTTCTCTCTGGTCAGACTCTGAACTGTTGGCTCATTGTTAATCATGTTTTAAATAACAGGGTTGTACTGGCTAGTTTTGTGACAACTTGACACAAGCTAGAATCATTAGAGAGGAAGGAACCTCAGTTGAGGAAATGCCTCCATGAGATCCAGCTGTAAGGCATTTTCTCAAGTTGTGATCAACAGCGGAGGGCCAACACATTGTAGGTGGTGCCATGGCAGGGCTGCTGGTCCTGAGTTCTATGGGAAAACAGGCTGAGCAAGCCAGGGGAAGCAAGTCAGTTAGCAGCACCTGCCCATGACTTCTGCATCAACTCTGGCCTTTAGTGTCCTTCCCTGTGTGTGTTCCTGTTCTGACTACCTTCAGTGATAATTAGCAGTGCTGAAGTGTAAGCCAAGTAAACCCGTTCCTCCCCAACTTGCTTTCTGGTCATGTTGTTTCATAGCAGCTATAGAAGCCCTAACTAAGACAAGGTATTTTTTTTCTTTTCTTTCTTTTTTTTTTTATAGAACTTTTTTTTTAAATATAATTTTTTTATTGAAAAAAAAAA